ATGCCGAGGATCACAAACAAGATGTGAATAACCATGTGAACACGCTTGGAAACCTCGATGTCATTTATCATCTCTAATTAATGTGTTGGTTAACCACACACGCTTTATTAACAATGATAGTTTTTGAGATGCCTATAATTTCTCTTTAAAGTCCCTACTAATGTGTTAGTTGATCACACATGCTCCACTAATGACATATAAAAGCATGACGTGCATTTTCATGGATTATCATACTTTTCATATTTATCTAAAGTAACTAGAGTTGGATTTTTAAAGAAGGTTCTAGTACTTTTACATCATTATACTTTTAATGGGATTATGTCCTATCAAACACGTTCAACTAACGACCATCCACCATACATGAGAGTAGTGGGTGAGAATAGACACTCATTCAACGACCATTTTATAGGCCGCTTCCTTATACCATCTTTATATCATGGTTTCATTAATAAGGTCTACTATTGATTTGACTGACTTTTTTTATACATATAGTAATTAACTTTTAATTATATATATATATATATATATATATAAAAGAACATTTCAAAATACAAGGTTTAAACTTTTAAATATCTAAATTAAACTTTTTAATTCAATTAAATTTAAACTAATCATGATTTAATCTTTATCTTTTAATTATGTATTAATTAAATTAATTTAAATCATCTATGTATTAAATAATTATTTACTATTAAAACAATTAATTAAATAATTCAAATTTAATCTAAATTCATTACCATATCCAATTTTCGAAAATTAGGGTATGATTTATCCAATTTTAAGTATTCTATTTTAAGGCTTTTAAAACAATAATTAAAAAAACAAGATAAACTCTAACAACCCTATCTATTTTTGAGATGTAAGGGGTGGAGGCTAGTGTTTCAATAACCCTAACCATTTTCGAAATTTCAAGCCCTTAGGGTTTAATTTCTGTAAAACCTAATTTGGATCTATTCAACATCATACATTATCAATTGAAAACTATGGCTCTGATAGTACTGATAGGATTTGTAGGTTATAATTAATACATGTGGGGAAAACAACTTAACCCTTAAGTTCACATGTAACCTACTTTTGATCTAAGTTTTCTTTATAGAAAACAATAAACAATTGAACATCATAAACCCTAAGGGAAGCCTACTATAATCGAAATTACAAGGATTAAGATTTACATACATTTTGATTATTATTCTAAATAATCAAGAATTCCTTTCTTCAATTTGCTTGGAAAGCCAACACCAAAATTATGATGTCTCTAATGGTTTGTACCTAAACCCTAACAATGGAAGACTTAAGAGGATAGAGGAGATGGAAGCATAATTTCAACTCTTCTAGCTTTTGGTATGCATGAGATGAAAATAAGGAGTCCAAGGAACCGTATTTATAGTTGATAGGAAAACCATAGAAACTTTAATTTGAAATAAAATAATATTAATTTGAAATAAAATAATATTATTTTAAATTTGGCTTTATCTAGTTTCTTTATTATCTACATGAGACATAAGAGGCTCCTATATCCTGGTTGCCCGAGGAAGATCTAGAACCCTTCTATTGTTCAACTATTGAACAATTACAACTTAAGTCCTTACACTTTTAATTAATCAAATTAATTTTTGATTAATTATTAATTAAATATTACTATTTCTAATTAATATATTAATCTCATAATATATTAACAAACTAATTATTGCTATTTATTAATTATATAATAAACCAATCAATCAACCTTTCTCTCCAAAAGTCATTCCGTTAATTACTAGTTTTAAGGGCAACTGAAAAATGATTTTGTTTTTAATTCAACTAGATACTAATTTAGTTATTGGCTTAGAAACTTAATCCAAAAATGATATTGTGTATGTGTAAAATTTACCAAATTTTGTGCTTACCCATTTTCCCCTTAAAAATACTATTTTAAGATCTGCAGAGATACTCATGATGGTAGCATGTGACAATATACACTAACTCGAGACGAATTGATGGAGTTTTTCATATTACCTTGGATTATGTTTCTTTGATTTTGGAATATATAACTAACACATACTTTTTTTTTTTTAATTATAAATTTTTTAATCTTAGGATTATCGTTTTGAAACTTATTTTGAATAAAAATCACAGATTTGAATATACTGATAGTGTTTTAAAAGTTCAAATTTATTGCAAAATTTAGGATGTTACAACTTAATATCCATGTTATTTGGCAAATCGAAGCTTAGAATCAAGGACTATCTCTCGATCGCTAAGAGGCCGAAATGTGATGTACACCAAAGGTGAAGCTCAAGTGATGAGTTTCACTCAACGATACTTCGGTGCTTTAATTCACTACCAATCTTCTCACTATGCTTCTTAGGTTCACTTTGAAGCTCTACCTTTGCCCTTGGCTTCGTTCTTACCTTTGCTCTCAGAGCTTCATCCACTTGGAAACTTCAAAATTGGCTTAACTTCCATTAAGCATCGCCCCATCTCTTTGCTCTTGGCCATCAACAACTTTACCTTAAATCATCACTCTTAACGTAAGCTTTTCTCCGGTAACTTTGCCATTAAACCGATTGTAACAGCCCAGGTTCCCAAGTATTAGTTATTTTGTATTTCATTGGTGAATTGCGAGGAGACTCGGCGAGTTGGAGTCCAAACTCGCCGAGTATGATCGCGGTTATGGGCACAGGTTCGCGTCCGGACTCGGCGAGTACACACTGTTTTATGAAACCCTAATTTCCAGGGTATGAGACTTATTTAAAGGGGCTTATGGCCGTCATTTGCGGCCACCAACCCCAGAGAGAACCCTAAAGAGTCTTTGAGCGTTTTGTGAGAGAGACGAGGAAGATCCTTGATTATTTGTGGGTGTTTTGCTTATAGAAGAGGACCAAGGCAAGAGGAGACCAAAGAAGGTGCTAATCCAGTGATTTCTGAGCTCAGAGACTTCATTGGAGGTAATCATTCATTCCTTTCTCAGTCCTTGGTGTAAATCTTAGAGATAGGGTTTCTTTGTGGCCTTTTTGGAATGATCCATGGAGTAAATGGCCTCTTCTCGTGTTGATGCTTTAGATCTGGACCTAAAGAGGTCCAGAGACCCTTTTTCCTCAAGCTTTATGAGTGTTAATGGAGGCCATGAGCTTAGAATAGCATTCTAGAGACCATATCTTCAAATAAGGCCTTTGAACCTTTGCATGGGCACCAAGATAGTAACTTTACGTGATGAATGAGCTTGGAAGGACTGGATCTATGAGTTATTGGAACGGATTTGACCTCAGGAGTGAGTTTGAGTTGATGCATGGCATAGACTCGAGTCTGAAGAATAGACTCAGCGAGTAGCATGAAGATTGTCCATAACCACTCAGCGAGTGGTCTTGCCGAGTTAAGGGGTTGACTCAGTGAGTCAGGGAGAGTCAGAAAGGGTTGACCGGTGGGCTGAGTCAAGCCGGAACTCGCCGAGTTGTTCTTGAGACTCGGCGAGTTGAGTCGTGGTGGCCCCGCGACTCATGTTAGGTGGAACCCGTCGAGTTAGGAAAACACTCGATGTGTCGAGAGAGGATCCCAAAGAGTTAGTGGACATGTGTGTACTCGCCGAGTCACCGGAGTGCACTCGGTGAGTTGGGTCAAAGTTTGACCGTTGACTTTTGTTGACTTTTAGGGTTGGTCAACAATGTGGCCTTTGGGCCAAGAAGGGGGTAAAATGGTCTTTTACCCTTGAGAGGATACCAAGAGAGGATAAAGTCTAGTCTCGAGAGTTATGTTCATGAGAGCATTTGCCTTATGTGATAGATGGTGGCGAGTTCGAGATGCAAGCGTGAGGATATCTGCTTCCTGCTTGCCAGGTGAGTCTTCTCACTATACTTTAGCTTGAGTAGTTAACCAGAGTTATGTGACAGAGTATTTGTATGCTATGTATGTTATGTGTTGTACTGCATTATTTCTATGTGATTTATGTTGTGCATGTTTACAGAGTTAGAACCTGAGGGTTCATAGAGTTTAGGTGCATGGACCCACAGAGTTATAGCCTGGAGCGGCGAATATGTGTTATGTGTGGTATTTTGGGGAACTCACTAAGCTTCGTGCTTACAGTGTTTTGTGTTATGTGTTTCAGGTTTCTTTCAGGATCACGGAACGACACCGACTTGATTGTACACAACAGCGAAAGAGTCATATTTTGAGGATCCTTGTTTATTATGCAAGTGAAAACGGAGTTATGTTTTGTAATTTGATTATGAATGAGATTTTAAGAAAAATGTTTTTTTTTTTTTTTTTTTTTTTTTTTTTTTTTTTTTTTTTAAATTAAACCATTATGTTTAAATGAAAAATTGTTTTGAAATTTACGGTGTTATACCGATACTCGACAACTAAGAGGTTGTCATGCATTTGTTTTGTTTATGTAATTCCAAATTAACAATATATAGTGATTTTTGTATTAGAGTATCTCTAATCATGGATGCGTAGACATTACTTTTTATTTTTCCATATTATCTTTGTACTATGATTATTAAACAAATTGTTATTAACTTAAGCATTCACTAATCATTTCACCAATCACTCACAAAACTTTATTTTTATTTTTATTATTTTTGTGTGTGTGAAATGATCTAACTTGAATCTATCTTTATGAAATATTTTATAAAGCACTCTTACCTAATTTGTTATTTTTCAAAAAATATTATATTTATAAAATCAAAATACTTTACATGAAAACACAAAATCAAATTTAAAGTTCATATTCTTTTATTTCGTTACAAATCATTGCATATATAATTATAAAAACATAAAGCTAATAAAAATATCATATGATCGTTACTTATATTTAATATTAAAGATTAAAATAAAATAAATATAATTAATCGTAAGGTAATAAAATTGTAAATGTAAAATATAATAAGATGTGTACAATAAAAGATTATTGAACAATCAAAACTATTATACAAAATATAAAACCAAAAAGACATTTAGTAAAATAATTTTTTTTTAATATTAACTCAAAAACAACTTATTCTAATGATAAAAAAATAAATCTAATGGTTGATTATTACCGTTTGATTTCTCAAAAACTTTCTATTGAACATGTTTTTAATAACATAGTGAGTGATTGCATCCTGTTCATATATCTACGTGACATTTGCTTCTGTCTTAATATGTTATTGGAGTAAATATGAATATCTTTGAAGGTCTCCATAGAAAAAGTAAGCCAATTTTTTTGGAAGGTTTTACAAGTAAAAACATATTCAATTTTTTCTTTAAACATAATTATAATTTGCACTTACAATTTATTTCTATATTAAAAAAATGAGTACATTCTTTATATATATATATATATATATATATATATATATATATATATATATATATATATATATATATATATATATATATATATATATATATATATATATATATATATATTCTTAAAAAAAGCTATTTATTATTCAAAAAACCTAACTTATTTACATCAAACAAACAAAAAAAAAACTACATTATTTTTAGTACACTTAAAATTCGTATATTTTCTAATCTTTTTGAATTATAATCATCGAATTATTGAGAGTCGATTATCTAAACATTTGAGTCTGCCAAAAGTTCCTAGGGTTTGTCTTTTTAAAACCTTAATTTAGACAATTATGAAAATAATAGGGGTTTTAACGGATTAAAAAATTAATATTGATTTTTTTAAAAGTTTGATGAAAAGATGTTGGGTTGTTATGAATTTTGTCAAATTAATAAAATAATTTTTATTATAAATAAAAAATATAAATATATTATTACAAATAGATAAAAAGTAAAATTTATTCCATATACCTTAAAATCTAGAGATATGAACATCATCAATATGTTGAAATTTAATACCAACAAACAAAGAAAAGAAGAAAAAAAACAGCAAAATCAATGTTATTTTTTGTTTTTTCTTAAAAGTATCAACTCTGAAATTACCGTATATATGTTTTGATATTTTTCAGACGACCAAGAAAAGCAAGCAACAGCGAGCACAAATCATATCCATAGAGAGAGACGGCGCACAATCAGTGAATGCTGCGAATCTCATAGCTTCCTGGATTCCTCTTCCCGCAACAACAACAAAGATCTGCTTACGCGTTGTTTCTGATCTTAGCCTGCTCCGTTTGAATAGTGAGTTTATCCGATTTTCTAGGACTTGTATTCATCCCGATTGTCACTGATTTGAGATTTTATCGAGAATTTAAACTGACTCGAAAGATGTATTTTCGTTTTAGCATGTGAGTGCAGAAGAACTTCAATCGCACTCGTAAATCTTGTTGTCTTCTCAGGCTTTCGAGATGCCGATCTCAGGTACCTCTTTTGATTTTTGAGATGCCGGGATTGTTTAAATCAAATCCTCTAACATTTGATGTTGTTGGCTGTAATCCATGGATATAACTAGGGTAGCGCAATCCTTCCTGATTCACAACTTTTTTGATCTGGTTGTCTAATAGATTAAACTATTATCCTTTTTCATGGGTTAATTGATTTGACTTTGTGACGAACTGATTCAAAAAGATTCAATTAATTTTTCCTTTCTAATGAGAATTAAAGTTGCTATAGTATGGTAGTTATCATATGCGCCTCTATGAAACAAAACAAGTGGTTTTTCCTACTTGCAAATAAAGACAACTTTCTATGTTTTATTGAGAAGGTTTGTTGAGGAAAGATTATGATCTCACAATGAATACGATCTCACAATGAACATACATGTTATAGGTTAATGTACCAATGTTTATCAGTGGTGGTAGTTACTGTATTAATGATGCAAAGTGTTGTTAAAGTTATATAGGTATGAGTCTTGAGAAGTACATTGTGAGAGGTTCAATTTCAATGTGGATTTGGCTCCTTATGGGGACTGAGCTCTTATGTCAGTCACCTAACACACACTGCCATGTATCTGATTTACATCTCACATGATGTACCTGAACCGAGGTAGAGCAGTGTGGGCCAGCTTTGGGGTTGCTAGAACAATAACCTTTTTGTATAAAGATAGTGATAGGTAGTATATCTTATAGATCTCGTGATCAAATTGAGATTTTTTTGTCGTCTTGCTACCATTCTCACTCTCTTCTTAACCTTATAAAATCAAGGAACATACTATATCCCTTTCTCCATGCCTTATTGCCTTATTTTCTTCGATTCATATCTTTTGTCCCTTGCACTTTCGCAAGGGTTTTTTTTGAGTCTTCTTTACTTACTCTATTTCCGTTGAGGTTTTGTATTGTTTCTTTTTTTAGACTAAGAAAGTTTTACTTACTTAATTTGGTGAATCAAAACAATATTGATTAAATGTCATTGAAGATGTGAAATGAGTTTGTTGGATAACTTGCTCTAGGTTACTCGAGTTTACGTGAAGCTAATATGACAATGTAATAGTATCAAACTAACACAATGTAACCATGGTTGTGTTTATTCCCGCATCTCTCTCTCTCTCTCTCTCTCTCTCTCTCTCTATAATAGATCTAATAATGATCACCTCAATTTTTTCTTATGAAAACATTTATCATCTCTCTATAGTCTATGTCTATATACACAAGACATGACAACACAATGGTCTTACTCTGTGTTTAGTGTGTGCATTGAGTGGACTGATGTCAATTGGACAAAATTGTAATCTTTTTTTTGTCTGGTGTAACGAACACAACCTTAATTATGGATGTTGTCATTTTACCAAAATTAGGGTTTATATTTTTGTAATGGTGGATGCCCTGTTTTCTTGTTTGCAGGACTGCGTGAGAAGCATAAACAAGAACTCGAGAATCTGACATTAATAGCACAACCTTTCAAAACATTGAAGCTTTTTATAGTGGCTGTTGTTCAGTATATAAGCAGATCACTGGTATACCTTCTGACACATGTTGTCTGGCTTATGCTTTTTGTCACACTCACAGTTGCAGGTGGACTCTTGTTTCTGTCTGTGGATGGTCCTCATGGAAAGGTACTCCCTTCATATTGCCTATTACTTACATTACGCCATTACAAATACATATTTCTGCAGTTTTATTTGAAATAATGATGTGTATAAGTGCTCTCAAATGAAGCATCTATTAAAATAATGATGAGTAAATACCATTTTTTGGTCTGTGTGCTATATTGTGTTTTTATATGGTCTGAAAAGGAATCTTTTTTTTTTTTTTTTTTTTTCCCTTGTTGTCCTTAGTTCACTGTTTCTATGCACATGTACTCCTTGAGTCGTCTATGATAACAATCCAACTGTTAAATTTATGAAAATGACCAGTTTGCACCTGGCTTCTCCTTAGTTGTTTTCCAAGAAAAGCATATAATCAAACCAAAACCCAAAATCAGTTGTACATTGATCTTCAATAGGTATTCTGTTTGTTAACAAATTATTTTGCCTGTGATTCATCGTACTCAAAGTTCCTTCAAATTATCAATGAGGTTGTAAGTTCCTTGGTTTTCATGATTATATGTTACATATTAATATATAATGATGTATATGTGATACATGTGTTCTTGTAGCATGTTGAAGAGCTTCTTGAATATGCAAGGTTTGGACTGTGGTGGGTAGCTCTTGGTGTTGCTTCTTCCATTGGTCTTGGTGAGCTCAATCAACTTTATCCCTATTATCTTTCATCTCATTTTTTATTTATTTATTATTTGTTAAACAATGCAACTAGCATTTTATTAATTTGTATTTTTTAATTTGATCAGGTTCTGGGTTGCACACTTTTGTTCTATATCTGGGTCCCCACATTGCTTTCTTCACTATAAAAGCAATGCAGTGTGGTCGAGTGGATCTTAAAAGTGCTGTTTATGATACAATACAGTTAAACAGAAGCCCTACATGGCTTCAAAAAGATTGTTCAGAGTTTGGGCCTCCATTGTTTTCATCCTCTCAAGGTGTTCAGGTTCCACTCAGCAGCATTTTGCCACAAGTACAAGTAGAAGCTATTCTTTGGGGCCTTGGAACTGCATTAGGAGAGCTACCTCCATATTTCATTTCTAGAGCAGGTTTCTTCTTCTTCTTCTTCTTCTTATTATTATTATTATTATTATTTTGTATATTCCTAGGTTACTGTTAGACAGACAAGCAATATCACATGACAGAAAATGATTTCAATCCTGTTTCAAAAATGACAAAAAAAGTACAATTTTTTGCAGCAAGTATCTCGGGTGACAAAATGGATGTGACAGAAGAACTGGATGCTTCCTCATCAGAGAATAACGGAGTTGCTTCAAATTTAAATCACATGAAGCGTTGGTTCCTATCACATGCACAATATTTGAACTTTTTTACAATTCTTGTGCTTGCTTCGGTTAGCTTTCATGCTTTTATCCTCTTCAGACTTCAATAATAATAAACACTTGTTCTTCAATTCATTACATTGGTTGAATTAATCAGCTGAGAGGCAACTTGTAGGTGCCAAATCCTCTGTTTGACCTTGCTGGCATTATGTGTGGGCAATTTGGGATTCCATTTTGGAAGTTTTTTCTTGCAACCCTAATTGGAAAGGCAATTGTAAAAACTCACATTCAGGTCATCTTCTCTTTTCTCTTCAAAACTTTGAGATTATTTATTATCATCAATGTCAAGAAACAATAACTTGTCACAAAATTAAAATATATATGTGATGGAAGTTTTTTGAATTTTGAATTGCAGACAGTATTCATCATCTCAGTGTGCAACAATCAACTTCTTGATTGGATAGAAAATGAATTGATATGGATGCTTAGCTTCATCCCTGGTGTGGCTTCTGCCCTTCCCACCATTGTAGCTAAACTGCATGCAATGAAGGAGAAATACATGGCTGCCCCTCTCCCTGTCACATCAAACATCAAGGTATTTTTTATTATTTCAAAATATTATAACTTTTCAACAAGTTATTTGGTAAAAAGATTAATATATGTTAAATTTATGTATGGGTTGGGTGATTCAGGTGAAATCATGGGATCTATCGTTTGCTTCAGTTTGGAATTCTATTGTGTGGTTAATGCTGTTGAACTTCTTTGTGAAGATTGTGAACTCAACTGCACAGAGGTATCTCAAGAAGCAGCAAGAAATAGAAATGGCTGCTCTCAAAAAGTTAGAGCAATCAGAGATTGATTGATTGATAGCGCTATTAGTAGTGATTTGATGTTTCTTTTGTTTACCTAATAGAATAGACTTCCCTTACTTACCATTGAAGCAATCTGAAAACCGAATCAATCCTTAACAACTCATTTATACAAAACATTAGTTGCAGACATTTCAAAGGATTCCTGTTTTCGGTGCAAAATTGGCATATTATCTTTTAATCACTTTTACATTCTTTTCCAATATTGAACCATTGATGTTTTTTTTCCTATGGACGTAACACTTAGTTTTAGGGTGTTATATTTGCAGAAATGATCTATAGATTTATAGCCAGGGGAGGAGGTTTCAGTTCCAAATTTCCAATATGGATTGGGCTCTTTGTGGGCAATAACTACCAACTACCTTACGGATTGTTGTATGCTTCATTTATATTTATATGTAACATGATGGATGCTTTTTGGGGTGGTTGGAAGTTTTTTTTTTCGATAAAGAAATATGTGGCCTAGGTGCTTAGTGACTTGAATACAAATCAAGATGCAACATTAAAATTGATTAGTAACCTACTAAATTATATGAAAAATGAATGGATGATTGAGTAAGAATACAATCCGAGAAAAAGAAATCGTAAAGATGGAGGTTGAGATGGGTGAAAATAAATCTATATGGAGTTATGGTTTTTGTAAAACATTGGATATGTGAAATTTGGGCTACTCAACGTTTATCCCAATATGTGGCTCAATTAGGCGTAGGGTATAGTTGGGCATTTGATGGGCGTGGTATCGGATGTATCTCCTAGATTATGATGTCTTATATTGTGGGTTGAGACTAAATGAGGGTTGGAGGGTTCATCACCAATCATGAACACACCTATCTCTTTCTCTCTAGGTGCACCCTCAACTTGTATGATATGCTAAAGTATATATTATATACCGAGAGGTGGATTACTTGAGTTGTAAATTGGGAGAATCGAGGAAGATGGATTCTCTCCACCCTTATAATTTGTCACATAGGTGATTATGTGACTATAAGGAAATCATATCGATTGATGGTCATTGATTTGAAGATGAGTTCGTCATGCTTTATAAAACTAGATGTTATTAAAGACGTCTCAAGATGATCAAATGTTATGGCACGCCCTTCGTACTAATCATGGTGAATGATTGACCATTGAAAATGTTATGCTAGGCAACCATATAGATCATTGTAAATGTTTATGGTAAAGCCATAAATGTATTTTTTATGAATAAAGATGAAATTATAAAAGATGATTTATGTTAAATGCTAATGCATTACAAATCATCAAGTTTAAATGTACTTGTTTGGTGTGCATTATAGAAAGGAGTTTGGGTAACTAATAAGCTGAAGTGTTGTTGGAGTGAGACACAAGCTACGAGCTAAGCCTTTGGTAGACTCAGTTTATAAATCCATTTAGCAATTTAATAAAGAACATTTAATTACTTTATAAAAGTTGATGATAAGAAGCAACACTTTATCATTATATCCTATTGCTCTGAATTCTAATGGAAAATCAGGATGAAAATGTAACACCCGACTTTTAAACACAAGACACACCTAAAACTTTCACATTTATTGATAAAACACATTGGCGTATATTTATATTAATTATCCAGCATAGGTAGGCATCAAAAACCTTGAAAGAAATTATGTAGATGCAGATGCATATTAGGTGTTTGGTGAAATGCCTGAGTGAAACTATCTTTCAGAGTTGACTCTTATTGATTGTCTTTTTTGTTTTTAACTTGTATTAGAAAGCTAATCCTCTTACTCTCAACATGTACACATCAGTCACCGCTATAAAAAAAATAACGAAATTGTTAAATGCTTTGTCAAGCACAAGATTGAAGCAGAGAAAGGAATCATCATTACAAATCATTATTTGTTAGTAAGTTTTTATTTCTTATCACTTGTACTTTTAACAAAATAATCTGTCTGTTGTGAGCAAGTTCCTATTTACCTTCCAATATTTCTTAAGTATTTGTCTCAACTATTTACAAGTCAAAATAATCTTGCACTAATTCTTATTTTCAATTAGTTGACTTTTTTTTTTTTTTTTTTTTTTTTTTTTTTTTTTATCTCCTTATGTGTTCAGATCGACTGAATTTATTCAAATGGAAGATGATGTGAAATGTTGGATTTGGGTTATAGTAAGGCTTGAAATTCTGAGAATTGTGTAAAACACTTTCAGATTAAAGCATTTGGGTGGTACTCCCAATATTCTTTAATCGGATAAGACTCAGAGGGACAAGAACTTGGAATTCTCTGATGATTATTTCGTTGTACCAGAAAATGAGACCAAAAATGAATTTATGATCTTTGTCTGAAAACTGTCATATGACAGTTTCAAACTGTCATAAACTGTAAAAACTGACATAAAACGGAAGTTTGGATAAGGGTCAAACAATGGTCAATTATCTGAAAATACGTTTTTCTGATGTATTTTTTATATAGCAACATACGTTTTTCTGATGCATTTTTTATATAGCAACATACCTTGGATAAGGGTCAAACAATTGTCAATTCTCTGCCCCTTGGACCCCGCTCCCAGGGGCGTTGCCCCCGGACCCCCGTTCGTTTAGGGGCTTCGCCCCTAAATGACAGTGTACTTTAAAAACTTGATCAAACTTAAACAAGTGTGCACTCCACACCTTCCTTACTTGTTTAATATTTATCAAGATCACCTTTGGTCACCAAAGTAATCTCATTACACTTAAATAATATTGATGATAACAAATCACCAACAAACCTCCCCCATTTAAGTGTAATCTTGATTAATTTAAAATGAAACATAACACCAACAAACTGATGCATAAATGAAATATCGTGACGATTGAATTTCACCTTAGTATATTACACAATCCAAATATTTGAATATCAGGGTGTCACTAAGGATTGAACCCTTTCTATCCATATTGAATATATGAAGATAATACATACAACAATTTACATTCTAATAAGTTCTAACTTGACACTATATTTTACTAGCTTGTGTCCCATCCTTCAATAAGCATATCAAAGCCAAGTCCTAACTTCTTGAAGCAGCTAAACTTCATGCTTATATAGGTAGTCCTTTTATTCTTGCACCTGCAAATGCAATTTTTCAAAAGAACTATTAAGAATATAAATTCAACCTCCTTTACTTGCAGTACTGAACACATACATTGGGATGATGATAATAATGTGTTATAATCTTCAAATATCAAGCTTTCCACATTGAATTCAACATCTAAGATCACATTAGATGGGAATTGGGTATCTTAATATAAAAGATTTTAAGTGGACTTTAAACCCATCCTTACAACCGCCTTGTGCACAAGATCTCTTGCTAACCCTTTGGTTAGATGATCGGCTAAATTCAACTGAGTTCTTACAAACTCCACAGATATCACACCAGTCATGATGAGCTCGTGAATCATGCTATGTCTAACACCTAAATTTATAGACTTTCCATTGTATACTTGACTATAAGCCTTAGCCAAGGTTGCAGCACTATCACATCTGATAGAAATGGTAGATATCGGTTTGGGCCATAATGGAATTTCATAAATCAAATTCCTTATCCACTCAGCTTCTTTATCAGCAGCAGACAAAGCAACAAATTCAGACTCCATGGTTGAGTTAGTAATACAAGTTTGTTTCTTAGATGCCCAAGAAATGGCACCTCCTCCAAGAAGAAACACCCAATCACTAGTAGAGGAGTGATCCTCTAAGTTGTTAATCCAGCTGGCATCTGAATAACCTTCTAAAACAGAAGGATATCCACTATAAGTTAAACCATAATTCATGGTCCCTTTTAAGTACCTGAATACTCTACCCACGGCTTGCCAATGATGTGAACTAGGATTACTAGTATATCTACTAAGCCTTCCCACAGCATATGCTATATCAGGCCTAGTACTAATCATGGCATACATTAGACAACCAATAGCCCTTGAGTATTCTAGTTGAGACACTGGAGATCCTTTATTTGGTAGAAGCTTAAGACTAGGATCTATAGGAGTGCTAACAGGAGAACAATTCTCAAAGTTAAACTTTTTCAATATCTTCTCAATATAATGAGATTGAGAAATTGAAATCCCATTGTTTCCTTTTCTAATTCTTATACCAAGAATTACTTCATCCTCCCCCATGTCTTTCATATCAAAACTAGATGATAAGAATTTCTTGGTTTTATCAACTTCTCCTAAATCAGTACCAAAAATCAACATATCATCTACATATAAGCAAATCATGACTCCTTTACCAGAAGTATCAAATTTGCTATATACACACTTGTCAGCTTTGTTTAATGCAAAAACATTAGACAAGACAACATCATCAAACTTTTGATGCCATTGTTTTGGTGCTTGTTTCAAACCATATAATGATTTCTTCAACTTGCACACTTTGTGTTCATTTCCAGGCATCACAAACCCTTCAGGTTGTTTCATGTATATTTTCTCATCCAAGTCACCATTCAAGAATGCAGTTTTCACATCCATTTGGTGAATCACAAGATTATGTATAGCTGCAAGAGCTAATAATAATCTAATAGTAGAAATTCTAGCAACATGAGCATAAGTATCATAGAAATCAATGCCTTCCTTTTGTCTAAAGCCTTGGATAACCAATCTGGCTTTATACTTATCTATTGTGCCATCCACCTTCATTTTTCTTTTGAGGATCCATTTATATCCTAATGCCTTGCAACCAGGAGGTAAATCAGCCAATACCCAAGTATTGTTATGCATGATAGAATCAATCTCATCATGAATTACCTCTTTCCAGAAATGTACATCCCTAAAAGCCATAGCTTCACTGAAAGTCTTTGGATCCTCTTCAATATTAAAACAATATTGATGTTGAGAAATAGTCTCATTCCTTGTTCCTTCAACTAAATATAGTTGAAAACCAGATCCAAAAGACTTAGTTTTTCTAGCTCTGGTGCTTTTCCTAGATTCGGGTACAGAACTTGCACCACCAGAAACATCTTCAACTTGAATAGCACTCTTGTTGGAAGATTGATGAATCATGTCCCTTGGTCTAGGTATAGATGTAAATCTTTCTTCATCAAAAATAGTATCTCTTGACTGTATCACTGTGTTTACAGACACAGAGTCATTAGATTCTAAAACATAGAATCTATATGCTTTGGAATGCTCAGCATATCCAATAAAGATACAATCTATACCTCTCTCACCCAACGTTTTCCTTTTGGGTTCAGTGAGCCTTACAACCTCTCTACAACCCCAAACTTTGAGATAACTCAAATTTGGTACCTTTTTACACCAAAGTTCATAAGGAGTATTCTTACTTCTTTTATTT